AAAAAAAATAGTAAGGGGATGCAAAAGTATAAAAAATATGTGTGTCCCCGAACATTAAAATGTCTTATTGCAATGAATTGGAAATTAGAAGGGGGACGCTAAAATATTTTTAAAATAGAAGTAGGACTCCATCCCCCCGCATCCTCCCCCAATTCAACCACCGTGTACAACTTTAACCTTCCCATCAAAATKTAAAAATAAAATAATATTATTTTGTGTACGTGCCTGTCTACTACCTACTGCAATAATCAATAGTCAATACTGCATAGTTATGATAAAAATACAAATTAAAAATTGTACMAGGGCGACTCAACTATTTCTTATCTGGGGGAACGTCCAGCAACTAGAAAGCCATGGTTATGGGGCTGGGAAATATAGCCAGGTGTGGTAAGGAAAATGTCCAAAAATGGCGGTGAGGTGKGGAGAGGTCAAGCGTACTGGACCGGTGGATCCCTCCCCCGTAACCTGACCGTAGACAAATATAATTTTTATGTTAGCATTTTATATAGGTACCTACACCATACAATTTTCAAAATATTTTGTTTCTTTTTGAGCTATTATACTTATAGGCATACCAAAATACACCAAAAATATCGAAAATGTGCACATTATTTTTTTATTAAAAAGTATAGGCCACAACTATAGGGTAAGTACAGGTCACGGGGTATAGCTTATCGCAACATCGCCTATATGTACCTRTGATATGCAATTTGCTGATATCTCTATTAATTAGTCTATTATTGTACCTATAACTTAGTCATAATTACCTACACTCAAGTATTGTCACGRTTTGTTTTATCTACTTCTTGAAATGTATAGTGGATAAAATAAAGTTGTGTCAAAGCCATTTTTTAAAATTCTTATACTAGGTATCAGTAGATTGATGACTTTTCTAGACAGAAAAAATATCTTAATATTTAATGTATATTATTTGTATTTTCAGTATAATTGACAAATGGCAGACTGATACATCATCAATAAAATATGGGTCTACTATACACTCAACACCAAAATTCAATGGACTATTAAAGTTATATCTTTGTGGAAGACTTGCAGTATCTAATGCTGTATTAGTGTATTATATTTRTACTATATTTCTGTATTATACAAACTAAAAAATATATGAATAATTATTTAACTAATAAATTAACATTTAACCTAATTATACCTAATTACATTTATAAAATATAAATATGACGTAAGTAGTAAGAAATCAAATAAAGTACATAGAAAAAAGCAAAAAATAATTAGAATTAAGTATATCCAGTATAGGTATAGGTATATTAAAATATTTGATAATATATGTTAGTATAATGACATTGCTTATTATTGTTACTTTTTGCCTTTCGGTGTGGCCATCTGGAAATAAGGAAATAAAAACTAAAAACCATGTAAAAATGAGTCTATTAGTGTATGGACATTGTGATTTTTCACAATGATGGGTTTTTACCAATTTATTCGCCATATATGTATTAAGATTTAAGAATAAAGATTTAGGTTCATACTTTTGAAATTTCAACCTAAACATTTGAAGCTTTGACCTTTGAGTAGGTACCCGTACCCCCCACTGGTCACCACCATGAAAATAAAAAGCAAAAAAGTACATAAAATATTAACAACTCGTGAGGTACAACATGACAATTTATTATTAAACGGCTAGAGCTTTTTCAATTATTTATTCAATAAATATTTTATACGTCATTTACGTCTTAAACATAAACTTAGACAGGTGTGCTACCCTGGCACCTCATGGTTAAAATGTTGACTACTAGAAAACTGTTTGGTATCGTGTTATTTATTATGTACCAATTTTTAATCAAACCGGAKCCTCGGAAAATTGGAGTTTAATTAATTAAAATATCTTAAGTATTGTACCTACACAAATCAATTATTAGGAATGTTTTTATCGTTTGTTTTAATAAATTTGTTTTTTAAATTTAATACTTACCACATTAAATGTTAATTATACATTATACCTACATAAATATGTTATGTAAGTCTTTCAACAAAAATTTACTGGATTACCTACTTATGACCTTATGAGTTTAATATAATTGATTATGCTTCAATGAATAAGCGTATATGGTTCATAATCTCAGTTCGTCCCAGACTCAGAATTTAGAATTGTAGTTGAGTGCTTGAGTCCGAAACTATCTACACATACTAAGTACTATTAATTTATTGTAAGCATATAATTAATAATGTATAAATTTAATATAATATTATGTACCTATTGATTAATATAATATGTCATATATATTATATCTTTTCAATGGTATAATTTATTTATATGAATATACAATACATTGATAGCATCATAAGGATCATATTAAGTTTGAGCCTACACGTTAAGGTAGGAAGGTAGGTACCTCGTACCTAACTAGTTACCTAGTGATTTTTGAAATTCAATTTACAAGTAATTATTTAATCTAACCTAACTAGTTACCTAGTGATTTTTGAAATTCAATTTACAAGTAATTATTTATTTATTTAAGTTACAACAATACAATTTTAAGAAGGCTAAACCCCCTAAACCCCCACCTATTTKTGCCACTGGAAACTATTACAGTTGTGTTTCGACAAAATTTTATAAATCAATAATTCAACTCTAAATTTATTTATAATGTAATTTTTATACAAATTCTCTATTTAGTTATTTGTTACACAATTTTAGATTCTGAGTGGAAYGATTTATTTTTGCGTCTGTGTACCCGATAAGTAGTCGAAATAATGCTTCGATTTTCAACTTCAGTAKYTTGTTCGATTGGAAAGTGAATATCTTTGGTGCGTTGGGGAGGACAAAATTRAATTTGGTATTTGGTGTAACTTTAAAACAAATAACCGTAG